AGGTGCATTTCCTGTGGGGTAAAAAGGTTCAGTGTTTATATCATTGGTAGAGATAAATCAAGTCTACATTTAGGATATTATGGCTATTAATTTACCTTGTTCTACCGCAAATTGTGAAATTCCTGATCCCACCACTCTGAACTTCAACTGGCCCGTACCACACTGCAGTGAGGGCGACATGCTCATCCATGACGAGTCTTTGGGACTGGCGTCTTGTGTTGGGCTCATCCAGCCTGAAGGCGAATATAAAATATATATATATATTTTTTTTCAATAGTCTGTACTTTAAAGAGAAGCAAAAACAATTCAAGCAAAATAACAAAACGCTTCAATACGTAATCAAAATATTTTTACCTGCAGAGTCTGCTTGATAAGCACCTTCATCCTCCACATAAGCGTTTGAGGATGACTTCTTGGTCCCGCCTGTGACTTGAGAATCAAGTCCTGACCCTTTTTCAAAAGCTCTCCCGAAAACAATTGTCCCCTCTTGGAACCCATTTGTTGTTTCGGCATCTTTTCTCCCTTCATGTCTTTCTCTTTTCTTCAGACGATAACAATCTATAGTTTGCGCAAAATAACACGTCAGAATAACAGCTGCAGCCAGGTAAACACCAGCGCCTTTTCTCTTGCACATGACTGCTGGTAATGTGAAGAGATGAGATAACTTTCTTTGCCGCAACTATTTGAGCATCAGCAGGTGCTGTGACAACCAATACAGCTGTGATAGGTGCTCATAGGATACCCATTCTGTAAAATCAAACTCACTGCGGGTGGAGAGCACTTGGCAATGAAGCATGAGAAAGGGCTTTTAATACTGGCACATATTACCACCAGGCAGCCAATCAACAAGGCAGGTGCAGCCTCAGCTAATGCTTGCACCTGTGTTCAATTAGCTTGCAACAGGTGGGCCTCGTTAAGACTTGTCTAATGTCTACAAAGTAAGCCCTGTGTATTGATCATGTAGATCGGGGGTGCCCAATACGTTGATCGCAAAGGTAGTGTGGGTAGATCGCATGGCATTGAAGCGCAAATGCGGCGCACCTTTATGCGTTTACATAACAGTAGACTAAATACAACTCATTTGATGTAATTAGGACACTTAGAAAATAGAAAAACTTATTTACTATATTGCTCCAATACTTTAAATGTAGATTAAAGGGTTGTGAGGATAAACAAGAACAGCAGTACATCCAAAGACAATGGAAAGAAAACATGGAAATATACCAAGAATGTCTACACATCCTCAATTGCTAACCTATTATATTTAAAAGATGTTCTCACCTCAAGTATTCTTAATATAAGACATTCCCCATTGTTATTTTCCCCGATTTAACAGGAAAGGGGATAAAACGAGAAATGAATTATTTCCCCCAAATCTTTATTCACGAAGCGCTATACAAGTTTTATTCAAAAGTATACAAACAACTTTGCACAAGCTTGAGAATGCAAAGTCCATTAAGTCCTTTCAGAGTTCAAATAAAAATATTCTTGGTTCTTCATAATTTTGTGTAATGTATCATACGGTTTGATTTCGATAACAAACCAATGAATGCAAGGGAAGAGTCTGACTATTTTGATTTGTTAATCTACTTTGACCCACAATAATTAGATGTATAACAATGCTTTCCCTTATTTAGAAGACAACATATTTATCTTCACATCAAGGAAAGTCAATCAGACGGTAACGGGATGGTGAACATGCATCAGTGTCCCAGCCTGACTTGGACCAGAGATGTCGTTTCATGGTTAGTTCCATAATATGAAAGAAACAATACACAGGTGTTAACACTAGAACCGCCAACGGGGTCAATTTGACCCCGAGCTGTTTTATATTTGATGCAACTTTTTTTTCAATAAAATATTAAAGTCTCCCAGTCCGTGACTTTTCCTGAAAGTGTGTTATGTACCACCCTCTGTTGTTAAAAATTGTCAATATGAAGTCAGATTGAAGAAATCACCCAAAAAAAATTGCCATTTATACCTATCTGAGAGAGCGAGAGCGAGCGAGAGAGCGAGAGAGAGCGAGAGAGCGAGAGAGAGAGAGAGAGAGAGAGCGCGAGAGAGAGAGAGAGAGAGAGAGCGAGAGAGAGAGAGAGCGAGAGAGAGAGAGAGAGAGAGCGAGAGAGAGAGAGAGCGAGAGAGAGAGAGAGCGAGAGAGAGCGAGAGAGAGAGAGAGAGAGAGAGAGAGCGAGAGAGAGAGAGAGCGAGAGAGAGAGAGCGAGAGAGAGAGAGAGAGAGAGAGACTGTAGTGAAGGAGTGTGCTCCCGCTCACGGGAGACAGCTCGCAATACGCTCCGCAGCAACAGCTGTGGGGCGAGTTGAAAGTACGTTATGCTGGCCGTGGTGTCTAAATAATGCTTCCTGCCCAGAATAATTAAGGATCTCACCTGTCAAGTCATTTTTAGTTGTATGAAGGCTACTTTTACAATATAACATCTACATGTGTAGTTTGAACACTTATGACCTAGTGTTAGACCAAATATTTAGTAATGCTTACTCCCTCTTAGGTGCCTTACAAACAATGGACGTCCACTCTCGGGAGCGTCGGAGTGGTGCGGTCACCCTAAGTGACAGACCTAAAGTATCCGGGATTCAGGCATCTTCCCTGGCTTGTACATTTTTGGTGATGCGCCCTGGAGGTATCAGACTATTTTAAACAACTTTCCCCCGCTTTTCAAACACTTATTCCGAGGTTTTAGCCAGTCATTTTGCACGAAATCATTTAACATTGACGGTCTCCTGAAAAGCACATATTCTGTGCATTTTCAGGAGAGCGTCTATGTTAAATGATTTCGTGCAAAATGACTGTCTAAAACTCTCTTCCAGACATTTAAAAATACTTTCCCCGACATTTAAACATTATTTCTGGCTTGTAAAGTGCAGTTATGCGCCCTGGAGATATTGCACTATTTACAAAATGTAGCACTCTGTTTATTTCACACCTCCAGGAGAGACCAGGGGGAAATCACCTCTCTCTGCCCCCTCACAGAGCCCCAAGGACGGACTAATTACCTCCAGCATGTC